CCCCCCCCATATCCGGAAAAAAGTCTGACGCCTACATTATAATCTCTGCTGTATGGTTTCTCTTTCTGATCATGTGTGTGTTTATTTATTATATACAGCTTAAGGCGAGTAATTTTTCCTTTTTTTTTATTTTTTTATTTTTATAAGATGTGTCTTAAGGAAATTTCTTTATACATTTTGAGTTGCCACAGAAGAAGTTCAATTTGATGCCCCAATGGATGTAATTTGGGAAAGCTGTGATGTCTGAAACCCTAATTTGTTGCTCCCTCATATCTAATCGATGCAAGTGATTATGATTTAAGTTGAGAAGACGACTAGTAGCAGCAGCCTGAGCCTGAAACTGTAGTTGGAGAATATCAATGAGAAAGCTCGAAGGAGGACGAATGAGGCTGGTTTTGATGGATTGGATGGGAGTTGTTGTAGGGACGGCTATTAGCTACCGACTCAAAACTATAATTCGAAAGATTTGATGACTCATAATACAATGTTTCAGATTGAGTGGCACAGTTTCTCCAATCATTTGTTATAAGCCAATGGTGATTAATTTAATCAATTTCAAATGTAATTACTCTTATAAATTGAATTTGAATACTTAATATCTTAATGACTAGTCTTAGGGTGTGTTTGGGGCAGCTTCTCCTGATATGTTGCCTGCGAGATTCGGCCTGCGGGTGACTTACCGCTTGTTTGTTATAAGCCAATGGTGATTAATTTAATCAATTTAAAATGTAATTACTGCTCTTATAAATTGAATTTGAATACTTAATATCCTAATGACTAGTCTTAGGGTGTGTTTGGGGCAGCTTATGCTTATTCAGGTAAACAGCTTATCATGATATGCGGCCCGCAGGTTGCCTGTGGAGTTTGACTTACTGCCCGCGGGGTTCGACCCACGGCTTGCGTTTAGTGTAAAAATTCAACCGCATTTTCGGGTAAGTTGTTAAAATGTGTTTTTCAAACGATGAGGCTTCATTTTAAAAAAGCTGCCCGCAATTGAAAATGAAGTCATGTTGTCATGTTATGGGGAGGGGTAATTAGTTGTAAGGGTTGCACTTGAAATCTCAAATCAAATCTAGAAATTTGAAACTGAGAGCCCTGTTAAGACATGTAAATTTCAGAGCCCACATTTGATTTTTAAGAATGGAGAAAAGTGCGGGTACAACAAAAAAGTCTATATTAGGTGTTTTCGTTAAAAGGGATTTACATGCATTCCACAAATATTATTATATATTTATATATCTATCACTTATATTTTTTATGTTTATAGGCATAACACTCATTTTTTGCTACTATAATAGGAAATTCATTACCTTCTTTTAGGAAATAGATTAATGACACTAAACATTGTAAACATGAATATAAAAAAAAAATGTTACACATATATCCTTAAGAATTTAATGTTATATTATGATATGTATGTAAAATTCTCTTCAATTAAAAGGCAAGAAAGAAATCATTATTGGTATTTGCGTTATTTTTCACAAACTCCAATTTCCAATGAAATAAATGAGAATAAAAAGCTCAATTTCTCATCAATCGAACCAGCAAACAAATTGATGTACTTACTGAATGAACTTTGTACTTCCCTTTTCCATTACATTTCCCCGCTTTCAATGCCTCCAAACCAGAGCCACAAGGTGAAAGAAACATTTGAACATAATCTATATATATATATATATATATATAAAGAAATAAGGATACATATAGATTGTGTGGAAGGGCCCAATCATAACACCCTTCCCCCACGATAACCACCATATACAAATAGTTCCAAAAAAAAGAGAATACAGATAATTACAAAACCTAAAGAAAAAACAAAAAATGACAAAAAAACGTAGTATTAAATAGCTAGAGAGTGACCCAATTTTGTTTTGCTTTTGTCTCTAGCTCTAGAAAAGGAGTCAGCCAATTTAATATATATATATATAATATATATATATATTTCGAGTAGCAACAAAACATCCACTAAGAAAATAAGAGCATTTACATGCATACCAAACAGTTATGTGTTTACATATCTAACGCCAAAACTTTCATATTTACATCATAGCACTCAAACTTTAACATCACCTAAAAAATATCATTATTATTCGTTTTTAAAGAGTGAAATACACCATTCATGCATGGGTTTATGACACCAAAGTGTAACAAATGTAAATATCAAATTTTAAGTGTTAGATATGTAAATACAAAAGAATTGTGGGGTATGAACATAAATTACCCAAAACATAATAATAAAGCCAAAGGAAGATAGCCTGCTACCATATTAATAAACAAATCACAAAAAAAAAATAAAAAAATAAAAAAATAATAAAAAAAACCTGTGCAAGAATTATGCACGGAGGATATATTAAATGATAATAATAAAAATAAAGAAATATTTTTTCAATCGCAGATATAAACACCTCACACAAAAGGAGACAAAACACTATACAAAAGAAGCACCATATTTAATCATTAGCTCATAAGTTACATTAGCCTTTCGCTGAAGCAGATCCAGCTACAGAGAAACTCCTTTCCATCTTCACAATTAGGCCATATTACTCAGTGTGTCCTCTTAACTTGATTCAAGAAAAGTTGGTGTCTGCAAATCAAAGAATGAAGATTAGATTGGAATCCGTAAAGTAGCAAATGTTTTGTATGTTTAAAGATTCAAGCATAATTGTAACGAATTTTGTATGAGGTGATGTTGTCTGCAAATCAAAGAATGAAGATTAGATTGGAATTCGTAAAGTGGCAAATGTTTTGTATGTTTAAAGATTCAAGCATAAGTTAACGAATTTTGTATGTGGTGATGGATGAAAAGAAATGATTCAACATCAGTTTTTTACATATTGCATACCAAGCTATACTACTAATGTTTCAATTCATTTCCATCATGTTTGAACATTTTTTAGATAAATTATTATTTGACATAATTACTAATTAATTGAATGATGTTTTCTCGCTATTTATAAGATTTTTACAAAACCAAAAATTATTATTGCATCAAATAATATAAAAATATTTTCACATCCTCTGCCATTTCTCATTTGGTAATGCATATCCTTACAAGTAGTTATTATTATCTTCTCTCATCATATAATAATTTAAAAAGACAATGATTAAGAAAATATAATGAAAATTAATATAAGCATCAAGTGCAAAAGAAGTTTTACAAGTGTAAAATCTTCCCTTGTAAAAATTATAAATTTTGAAACCATTCAACATCACCTTTTATTTTCTAATCTTGTTACATAAAACATAATGCTTACCTGAAGAATGTAAAGAATATTTCTTTCATGAAAAACAAAGTTTGGAAAAAATTTGGAATGGGGTTCAAGATTAATCAGTTCAAAATACCTTTCATATTCCAGCTTCTGGATAACAATGCCATTGAGTAAAAGCTCTGAGCTGAAAACCACTGCTCCTGCTCGATGCGAAACTTATATACGTGAGCTATGGTCAATGAATTTCCTGAGATTTTAGAATGTCCATAAAAAAAGGAAAGAATGATTACCTTTCTTAAGTAGCGGCGCACAAACTGCAAAATCTTCTTCACCGGAGAGAATAAGAAGATTGTCAGGCAGTTTATCATCTTCAGTAATGGACAATTCAATTCTCTTTAATGCCTGCAAAAAAGAAAAAGAAAATCTAAAAGAAGATTTAAGAATAGTATCAAAATACAAAGATAAAGAGAGCATAATCTAGGATTCATCAAATTCTCATATTTCATTCAAGCTTATTGAGCATTGCCTGAGGAGTTAAATTTACTACTATTCACAAATCTTTTAGAATTGTCCATGTTACCTTAGGTATGGATTATTGTTTTTAATCCTTCAATGCTAAATTTATCCATTTGTCTACTGAGTACATTTTCTACCATTTATTATACAAGATCAAAACACCTTATGCCTATGTTAAATTACCTTATTCTCAATAGAAGTCACTCCAATCATTCCTCTAATAAAATTATTCCTTAAAAATTAGTCGAGTTTTATCACAAACTTATCTTAAAGTTCTTGTTTTTGTCACCTTCAACATAGATCATTTTCCTTAGTGCCAACACTCAGATTCATACAACATTGTCAACTTAAATTTGCTTTGAATTTTCCATGATATACTCTTATAACAATAGCATACTACAATTGAGATAATTCCCCATTTTAACGAAGGAATATTCACTCTAAAAATTACATCCTCGTATATAGCCTGATTCTTTCACACATACATCTAAACCATTTAGACATGTCATACTTAAGTATCACTTTATCTTCTAGAAATAATTGATGAAAATTAATATCAACTCACTAAAATTATAGAATCTATCTTTGTTTTACTATCTCTAAGCCACATATCTTCCAACTATTTCTCCATAGTTACAAAATTCCTCCAGCTCACTAAAATTTGTGTTCCATTATACTCTATTATATTCCTTAATAATTACAATATTAGCATCAAAATACTTCTTTTCTAATCTTTTGAAATCCTTTTTTTTTTGCCCATAAAATTCCATTGACAAGTTTTGTCAACAAAACCACTACAATATACCCTTTAAGTCCCAAAATCCTAATAGATATCTCATCTAAACATAAGGTTTAAATTTATAAATCTACATCAAAGCCAACTCTAGTACAATTTTTATTAGCAATCTATAATAGACCTTATTCTTTTAAATAGTTTCTTTATTAAATTTTAATTAATAATTTCTTAAAGTGTCATTTAATTTTCCTTGATATCTTTATTTTTACCAAAGTTTTTATAATCTTCGCTTATAATGCATCTAACTGATTAAAATTTGTAGATCTCATATCTCTTGCTATAGCTAATTTATATATCAATTTTTTCAATTCCATAGTTTCAAGCCCTTTTTGCATTATTAAGAAGATAACAAACTGGTGATAAACAAAGATAAATAAAAGGAATCAAATGAATAACAGAGTTCATCCAAACATCAACCGGAAATATATCAACTCCATATCAAATTATCAAAAGAGAACACGACTACACGATATGAAAAAGTGAGTACTAAATAAAGGATAACAAAGAAATAAAGTATAAAATGGAGAACCACCACCAAAAGAAAATTGAATAATAATAACAACAACTAAACATTTCGGGTGAATGCTACACTGGCTATAGGGTGTAGTGTTAAATAAGCAAGGATTCCCACATTATGGGCGAATGCGGGTAAAGAAATTAGTTCATGAAACTAATGAAACTAATACTAGATAGAATTTAGAAATATAGGTACTCTCAATGGTAAATTAATGGAATTAGTTGATATTATTAGTTGATATTATTTGATATTATGATTCATAGGAAAATTAATAACTTATGTTTTTCAAGAAACTAAGTGGGTTAGAGAAAAGGCTAAGGAGATTGATAATTTAGGTTTTAAACTTTGGTATTCTGAAAAGAGTCGCACTAGAAATGGTGTAGATGTAATTATAGATAAGAGTTTGAAAGATAATGTTGTAAAAATTAATAGAGTTGAAGATAGAATTGTAGTCCTTAAGATTATCATTGATACTAAGATTTTTAATATTATAAGTGTTTATGCTCCTCAAGTAGGTTTAGATACAAAGTCTAAAGATAAATTTTGGAATGACTTGGAAGACTAAATACAAATGATACCTCTTGAAGAAAGAATTTTTATCAGTAGAGTGGTATAAGACTAGAAATAATCATTGTGGCTACAATTTTGGAGTAACTAATGAAGAAGGTAGAGTTATTTTAGATTTTGCTTTAGCGTATGATTTTGTTATTACTAATACTTTATTCAAGAAAAGAGATGAGCATCGTATTATTTATAAAAGTGAATCTAATAAAACACAAAATGATTATTTTCTTATGAGAAGAAGAGATCATCGCGATTGTAAATATTGTAAGGTCATTTCAAGTGAAAATTTAAGTACCCAACATAGTTTATTAGTTTTAGATTTTAAGATTAAGAGTTGTAAAATAAAGAATACTAGGACTCATCTTCGTAGAATTAGATGGACAATAAAATTATTTTTATGAGTAAACTTCAAGATTTCAAGGTTTGGGATGTTCATAAAGAAATAAATTTATGAGTGATAAAGTAATAAACATTATTAAAACAAGTAGCAAAAGATGTACTTGGAGAATCAAAAGAAAAATTTTCTGAGTAAGAATAATTTGTAGTGGAATAATAATGTGCAAGAAAAGATAAAATATAAGAAGTTATGTTATAAAAATTGATTTAAATGTAAAAACTTAGAGAACTGGGAAAAATATCAAACGGCCCGCATGGAGTCTAAAAGAACAATCTGAGAAGCTAAAAATTCTGCTTTTAATGATCTTTATAATAGATTAGATACTAAGGAGGGAGAAAAATATATGTATAAACTAGCCAAACAAAGAGAAAAGAAAAGTAAAGATTTAACTGAAGTAAAATGTATTAAAGATGAAAATAAAAAAATACTTTTCTTAGAAAAAGATATTCAACATAGGTGAGTGAGTTACTTTGATAAACTTTTTAATGAAGTTTTTGAAAATATGATTGACCTTAGTGACATTAATATCGTGAATAAAAATAAAACATTTTGTTTTTACCGTCGCATTAGTAAAAAATTAGTTGAGGCTTTAAAGAAAACCAGGGGTGGAAAGTCTGTGGGACCTGATGATATCAAAATTGAAGTGTGGAAATATTTGGGAGATTTGGAAGTTTCTTGGCTAACTAAAATCTTTAATATTATTTTAAAAACTAAAAAGATGCCTGAGGAGTGGAGGAAGAGTATTTTGCTCCCCATTTTTAAGAATAAAAGGGATGCACAAGAGTGTGCAAATTATAGAGGAATTAAGTTGATGTGTCATACTTTAAAATTATGGGAGAGGGTAATTGAACATAGGTTAAGATGCATCACGAAAATTTCTCATAATCAATTTGGATTTATGCCGGGCAGGTCTACTATGGAAGCTATACATTTATTGAGAGGTTTGATGGAGAAGTTCAGAGATAATAAGGAGAATCTACATTTGATTTTTATTGATTTAGAAAAAGCTTACGATAAGGTTCCAAGAGATATCCTTTGGAGAGTTCTCGAGAAGAAATGTGTTGATATGACTTATATTCAAGTCATTAAAGATATGTATACTAGAGTTGTTACTTGTGTTCAAACTGAAGGAGGATTGACAGAATATTTTCCTATTTCTGTTGGATTACATCAGGGATCGGCTTTAAGCCCGTATCTTTTTGCTTTAGTTATGGATGGTCTTACTGGACATCTACAGGAGGATGTACCTTGGTGTATGCTTTTTGCTGATGATATCCTTCTTGTGAATAAAACAAGAGAAAAAGCCCAGGAAAAAACTTGAATTATGGATGTCTACATTGGAGTCTAAAGGCCTTCATTTAAGTAGAACTAAAACTGAATACATGGAATGTAATTTTAGTAGTAATAGCTCTAGTGACAGAAGTGTGACTTTGGGTGATCAAATTATTAAAAGGTGTGAACGATTTAGATATCTTGGGTCCGTTGTCCAAAGCGATGGTGATATAGATGGGGATGTTAATAGTAGAATTCAAGTTGGTTGGTTGAAGTGGGGGAATGCTTCGGGCCTTTTGTGTGATAGAAAAGTACCGTTTAGATTGAAAGGAAAATTTTATAAGACGGTGGTGAGACTTGCAATGCTCTATGGCGCTGAATGTTGGCCTTTAAAAGAGAAGCATAATAATAAGTTAAGTGTTGCCGAGATGAGAATGATTAGGTGGATGAGTGAATTTACACTTAAGAAAAAAATGAGAAATGAATATATCCATGATAGGGTTGGTGTAGCTCCTGTGACGGACAAAATTAGAGAAAGTTGTCTTAGATGGTTTGGTCACATTAAACGTCGACCATCTGATGATCCGATTACGAGAGTAGATGTTTTAGATTCGACTTGTGTTAAGAAAAGCAGAGGTAGACCAAGGAAGACTTGGGCTTATTGTATTGAAAATGATCTTAATTTACTTGAACTAAATGAAAATATGACACTAAATAAGATGCAATGGAGAAAAGGATTCATGTAGCCGACCCCACGTAGTGGGATTAAGGCTTTGTTGTTGTTGTTGTATAAAGCAAGCCACATTTATCACGTCTAATAATACCAATGAGGTTCCTACAAACTGCATTAAGATTAATGATTCTATAAGTTTTCATTTGCAGCACTCATTGGCTAACTAATTAGCTGTAGAATTATTTTAATGAGTAATATGCAACAATGCATAAACTACTCTAGAAAGCTAAAGCTTAATGTTAAAAATGAATATAATCCAAAACTAGACAAATCTCTGTTAAAAATATTAATAAGGTTAAGAGCATCCATCTCAATCCATATGTTAACGAAATCATAACCCTGACAAAGCAATATACTATGATAAAAGCAGAAAGCTCAAAAAAAAAAAAAAAGAGCCATAACGGTCAAAATAGTTATAAAAAGCAGCAAATAATATCACCAAATAATTTGTAATACTGCAAGCAACAAGCAGCCTCCTTAAGTTGCTTTTACGAGAACAATCCACATTTAATTGAAAATTCCAGTTCAAGGCTTAATCCAAGAAAAAAAAAAAAGAATAAAATTCCTTTTGAGAAGATGACATGAAATCATAAGATCAAAATCACAATTCCTAACACCTTTTATATTTTTAAAAGAAGATCCCAGAAGATATTAGTTACACATAATTATCACCTTCCATGTAATCATAGTAATACCAACTAAAAACGGTTGAAAACATGTTTTGGAATGAAAAGAGAGTTAATTTCATTATTCACAAGTAGGGCACGTATATAAGGAAACCAATCCTTCATGATTTTCAAACTTATCAAATATATCTATCCTAAATTAGGGAAGGAAATAATTCTAAAATAAAAATAAAAAAACATAGAATATGAAGGAAATAGACTAATTAAGAGTTTCTTCAGTTAACCACAATCAAATCTTCCCTATTTTGGAATTAGTGGTTGGCCCACATGATGAAGAAAGAGGGAAAACAGGATCGTCTTAGACCTTAAGATATTGTAGAGACCATGCTTGGTATTGAACTCCAATACCTTAAGATATTGTAGAGACCATGCTTGGTATTGATGAAGATGCTTAAAAGAAGGGCTTTGGTGAAAACATCAACAACTTATTAGCGTGTCAGGATATAGTTTAGCTGTAGAATTCCTCCATGAACTTTTTAGAGATGAAGTGTCTATCAACTTCAATAGATTTGGTCCTATCATGATGGCACAAGATTCTTAGCAACACCGATAATTGTTTAATTGTTACAAAACATATGTATAGGCCTATTGGAGGTACACCCTGATTCTTTTAACTATTTTTTAATTCAGATCTCTTCACAAATTCCAAAGGAGAGTGCCATATATTCTAGTTCTGCATTGCTTCTAAAAATAACCACTTGCTTCTTCTCCATGTCACCAAATTTCCCCATACATAGAAGCAGTAACCTGTAGTGGACCTTCTGTTAGTTAGTTCCCTAACCCAACTAATGTCAGTGTAGGCCTCCACTCCTCTATTCTCGGTATTCTTAAAAATTAATCAATAAATAGGGGTCTTCTTGAAAAAATCTCAAAATTCTGTGCACTATCTCAAAGTACTCTTTATTTGGGTTATTCATGTGTTGGCTCACAATATTGACATAATATGCAATATCTGGTCTCATATGTGACATGTAGTAGAGATTTCCTACTAATATTTGATATTTCCCCTTATCCACACAGAGACAATTTCTTCTCTCCTCTTTGATTTCTGGTTGGGATTCATTGGAGTGTCAATAGGCTTACATCCAATCATCACAGTCTCCTTTGGTAGATTTAGAATGTCTTTCCTTTGTGATAACAATGTGTTTCTTGGACATTGTTACCTCCATGCATAAAAAAATATCTCATGATTTCCAAGTCTTTGATTTCAAACTCACTTCTCTGATCTTGAAAATCTACCATCATCACTAGTAAGAATCACATCATCCACACATAGTATCAGTGCAACAATCTTGTCAACTAGAGTGTGCTTTACAAATAGAGTATGATCAGCGTAACTTTGATAATACTCATTAGAACTCATAATTTTAGTAAGTCTTTCAAACCATGTTCTTGGTAATTGCTTAAACTCATATAGAGGCTCCCTGAGTTTGTATACCAGATGTTTGTTGAAATCATTCTCTAGTCCTGGCGGTATGTCCATACACACTTCTTCCAAATACTCATTACGAAAGACATTTTTTTACGTCAAGCTTATGCAATCTCCATTCCCTGTTAACCGTTACTAAAAGGAGAACTCTGATAGCGTTGGCAACTATAGTGCGAAGGCCTCCTGATAGTCAATCTCATAGGCTTGAGTGAAATCTTTTGCCATAAGTTTGGCTTTGAATCTCTTAATACTTCTATCAGCTTTCCATTTGAAGTTGAACACCCATTGAACCCAATTGACTTCTTATCCCGAGGGAATAGTAAGAATCCACGTGTTATTATGCTCTAGTGCTTGAATCTCCTCTTCAACTGCTTCCCTCCATTCTAAATATTCAAGAGCTTTATGAATAAATTTAAGAATATGCATACTATGAAGGTTAGAAACGAAAGCTTTGTAAGATGAGGGTAACTTCTCATAAACTACATACTCCTAGATTGAATAACTAATGCAGTTTTCTTTGTCACCAACATCAAAAAAGGAAGGGGATAACTCATGGGTACTAGTCCCTGATCAGCATTTTAGTGTAAACGTACAATTTCTAGTACAAGTCTTCTGAACTTCGGGACAACCTCCTGGTAACTACAAGTCTTCATAACTCATGGGTACTATTCCCTAGCTGTAAAATTATCTTAGGGAACTCGTGAAAAGCTAGTTGGAAAAGGGACAAATCATGCGTTAGAACTCCCCATAGATTATGGCCTTATCCAAGTATTTAAGGTGGTTGATTTAACTTTAAATCATAAATTGTCAATTGATGAAAGCAATGTTGTTTTGTTATTTTTTAGTAGGCGTCATATCCTTGGTTCAAGTAATTCAAGCAAATATGCAGAGGATGAATAGGTTACAAATCCACCGTTCAATATTGGATCAATCACTTCTTAGTGTCGAAGTTTTAACAGTGTTTACTTTACCAATGTCAATTAGGACTGTAAATAAGTAAAAGAACTCAAGTTATCAAAGGCTTGAACTAGACTCAACTTAAACTTGAACTACAGTTATTAAACTCAACCTGAGCTTATAAAGCACAACAGTAGCTGCTTGTCGAGCACAATGTAACAACACAATTCCTGGGATGATGCCAACATCATTGTGGAAAACAACGAGGATGAGGAGGTAGAGGGGGTGGGTACGAGAACATAGAGATCTGCCCAAAGCAGTAGAGAGATGTTGGCAGAGATAATGGTAGCCTTCTCAAGCTCAATCACCAGCACATTAACAAGCAAAGATAGGCCAGCTCACTTATACCTCTACAATATATAATGGTTACTGTTAAGAACGAGAGTAAAGTTTAACGTATTCCATAATTACTGAAATATCATTCAATACAAAAGCATTTATATTTTCTAAGATAAGCAAAGAGAATAATAAAAAAATATGATAAAATAGAATACTCACAATAAATAAAAAACAATAATAATATATATTATATATTCTAAATATAAATTAGTATAAGTAATAAATCAGATAATCATAACATCCATTAAATATTGCAGTGATTCATCAAATGGTCAATAGAGAGAAGGGATTTATCCTCGGAAGCAAAGAGATTTGCAAGTTCACAAGTGATATATACATAAGCAATCATGACGGAAAAAAAACTTTGAGTAACTGCTGCCATCAATTATGACGACTCCAAAACCCAATCACCCCCCTCCCCTCCATGTAATAGTTCCACCACCAGATAAATAACCCTCATCGTTTCTATTTTAATTATCCGGTTCAATTTTCAGATGTGTGATTTGTTATCATGACTTTTTTAAAAGTACATAGGTTAAAAATAAGAGAAAAGTGTCAAAATGTTCCCCTGCTTCTTTGTCAAGAGCCATTTCAATCTCAGAGTTTATAAAAGTGTCAATTAAGTGATCAAACTCTTTTAAAAGGGGCTAATATAGTCATCCCTAGAGACTTGCTTCATCCCCATAGTCAAGTAATCTAGAGAGTAATGTGATATTTTATAAATTCTAGGACTAAAATGACCACATGTGAATAATCAGGGACTATTTTGACATTTCACCGTAAAAATAAAGTCATATTGAGTAAGGCCGGGGATTTAAAATCCTCATCTCCCATTGGTAAATGATAACTTTTCTCCTCTGCTAAATAAGCAATGTTCATATAAATTAGATCCTCTAGAATACTTAAACAGTACTTCTGTTAGCTCAGTAGGACATGCGTAGAAAGGGAGCATTACATGTACAAAACAAATCAAATAATAAAAAATCCGTAATGGAAGATGAGCTTCAATTAAGAGCGAAAGATTCCATAATAAATTTAGCACACAGTAAAATACCTGACCACCAGCTACCTTAACTAAGCTGGAAATAAGCTCTTGATTAGGTCTTGCATTTCGTGTGACATACACCCTTTTACCCTACAAATTACAAGAGAGCATAAAGCTTCAATTATATTTGCCACTAAGATGTAGCAAGCTATGTTAAAGAGATGCTAGATATAAAAAGAACCTGCAGCAGTGGAAGTTCACATGCACGAGCAAGTGAAACAGGCATGCTAAATCCAATCTCCTTTTCCTTCCTACTATCCCTCAAGATGTAGTTTTTTTCATCAATAGAAGAGCTTGCCTGTCCACAGCTTTCAAGCCACATAGGTGTTACCACGGGTTTACCCATAGCCATTGCTTCTAGCATGTTTCTTGTGCGCACAAACCTATCAGCAACAAAATGTGTTGCTTCTAAACTGGAGGAGACTTCCTGAATTCCTAATCTTTTCAATATCTACAACAGAAGATCAGGTAAATAATTAATGAGACTGGTTTGATAAAAATGCTGATTCAAGACTTCAAAACCAAAAGATGTGATGAGAGGTCACCTTTTCCTGCTGCTTAATCACATCCTTGTTTAAATGATTGCTGAAACAAACATGAAAGCATGCCATATCTTTTCTTCTTCGCACATCATTCAATTTTGATGGCGATGTATAAGAAGTTTCTAACCGAATAAGTTCTCTGGAAATAGGAGATCTTGACAGAGGGGATACTGCATTTTTGCCGGTTATTGGTGAACATTGTAAACCAGATTGACAAATTGCAACAGTTGATCCTTCAGGTTTTGTATCTTGGTTTACAACTTCAGCAAGTAGTCGAGACTGAGCACTTTTTTTAGATGTTTCAAGCTTATCATTATTAACATTTCGCTTCACAGAAGAAAGTGAATTTGTGTTAGCAGTTCCATCAGAAGCCGGTTTGCAAGAGAGTTGGGCCATAGAATGTGAATTATTTGCAACATAAGGCTTCAAAATATCTGAAAGCAATGATGACCTTGTTCTGATGCCAGACTCATTTTGCATGCCATCAGATTCAAACTTGCTGCTCAGAGAAACTGATCTCTTCCTTCGCTTTACAGTATCTAAAATTTCAGCAAAACTTCTGATAAAAACTTTGCGCCCTTTCTTCTGAATAGCAGGCCTTCTATCACTTGTTTGATTCTCTTTGTCAATGTTTTTCATTTTTCTTCTTTTAGATTCTCTGTAAACATCTCTGTCACGAGAAGCTACTGTTTCTTCATTATGCCCTCTCTCCACCTCAACTACAACGGGAAGAGCATTGAATCCATGGTCATAGTTCATTGTTCCACTCAAGCTTATAATGCAACCATTTTTATTGACCTTGGGTACTACTGATGTGTTTGAAACAGATTCATCCTCCATCTCAACAGGTCTATGGGTACGCAAATTGATCCTACTGGTATCGTTGCAAGCATTAGTGAATAATATTTGATTGAGGCTTAAGTGCTCAGCTGCTTTTGAACGCCTAGTACGATGTGCAACGGGTGAAGTATAAAGCTCACTAGTGCCCAAAGTGCGTTTTTCACCAACTGAAGGCTGTTTACTGAGCACTGGAACAGGAGACTTTTCAACCTTTTTATCTACCATATGCTTCATTCTCTCCCAACCAGTACTTATTTCATAGTCTCCACTGTAAGCCGATATCATTTCTTCGCAGTTTATAATCATCTTTGCTGTTATTTCAGCTGTTCCATCCTTCAAAACTATCTCCTTCCTCGACTTAGTGGACTGTTTTCTAGAAGAATTGCAGCATTTTTTTCTTGATTTCGAGATGTTTTGTAGTTTTGAGGGTGTCATAATTCCTTCCGATTTATTACTCCTCTTCCTTGCAGAGGCATTTCTTGAACGAGTTCTGCTAGCTTTTATAATTTGCGTGGAACTTCTAGTGTCCTCTCCATGCCTTGATTGTACAGTAGTCGGTTCAAAAGAAACAGGAGATGAATGACCCAGTGCCTGCATAGCTTCAGCTGCCATTTGAGTGGCAGGACCGCAGCTATAAACACCTTCATCACTTATGGGAACATCAAATTTCTTTAATTGCTCCATTGTATCTGTGTTTGTTTGCTCCATCAATTCACTGAAAAGGTATTTCTTTGATTTTGATAAAGATGCTAGTTTCTGACATGTTTTGGACTTGGCGCCTTCAGCACTGCTCTTGTTATCAGAACCTACGAGCCTGTGTGATACTCGTTTACTTTGTTTGCAGCCAAAGAAGGAATCTTTTCTTCTGCTAAATAATTCACCGCCACCTTCATCCTCAAGGGAATCAATCCAGTCATATACTTGAACTTTTCCCGTTGTACTTTTATCAGTTTTCCTCACAAAACACTGAGCTTTTTTCACACTTGCAATAGGAAGTGATATCACTGTGTCCGCGTTCTCATTGTTAATGTCCGAAGATAATTCCTCATTATGTACAGAAAGAAACTTGTCCACAACACCTAATGCAATGGTTTGGGACTGAAGACCAGGCTCTTGGGATGAAATATAGCTCAAACCTGCAGCAGTTTCACTGCATCTAAGTGGAGATTGTGACGCCATTTTTTCTTTATTTAATTTTGATCTTATTTCTGTTTCTTCCTCCTGATACAGATAATTATCTCTATTGTAGCCCCTTATGAATTTGAATGAGTTCTCAGCATCACGGTCCAATACAGATTCATCCCTTTTAGTGACAACAATATTCAGTGCTGAAGCACTCGAAGGCATTGTCTCCATCCAGCTGGTCTTCATTCTAGTAGGACTTTCTTCAGTTTTCTCATGGTTATGCGTATTAAAGTTCCCTTCAGCCAGATTCGATGATTCCAACTTCTTGCCAGTTGGAATACAAGCATCAAAGTTCTTCCTTGAACATTCTGCAAAAGATGCCGATGCAAAGCATAGAAAAAATGAACATCTCAAAGTAAACAATTAAAGCCACTTACTATATGAACAAGCTACGCTAAGAAAAAAACTAGAAGTTAATAAAAATTGAGTAATAAAATATACCTTTACTAAAAATACAAGAATAAATTAAAAATGATTATATTAGATCAACAGTTGGGGCGATTATTGAACATAATACAAGTGGAAATAAATTTGTGTGATTTGAAAGATACAACAAACGATAGAGAATGTAATGATTAGAGCAACTAATTTTGAAACCAAGCTAGAAAAAAATATGCCCAAAATGACTAAAAATTGAGAAATAATTTATTATTATTAAGGAATACAAGGATAAATTGAAAAATTATTATGTTAGAAGAATGGTTGAAATAAAATCTCTTGAAGATGAGGCCATCTGAAATAGAATTATGCGGTTTGGATGCATACAACAAATGATGAAAAAATTTATCTATTGGACGATAAGATAGCCATCCCTGAGTGATTTATAGAGAATTGCATGAACAATTTAAAAATTATAAACAAAGTGAATATGGAGTTTTTGAATATTTTACTTAATTTGGAAGTTCTATAGATAAATTTTTATTGCCTCTAGACTATTGAGTTATGATTTGTTTAATTAAAGTTTTAGGTGAGATATTAGGGATGAATTAACTAATTTACAAAAAAAATTTCATGGAACTTTATATGAATCTTTGGATATCAATTAAGAATATCCCACTAGTGATTAATGCCTACTGCGGGAGCGACCCAGTAGATGTTTTTCCGATCATTGCTATAGTACCGTGACTCCCGTCTGCTAGCCTGGACCGAATCAGTCCAGGTATTTCTCCGTTTTGGGAGTGCCGCTAGTTCTTGTGCCCACTTCTAATTATCATATTATTATAAATTCATATTCATGAGAGTTTAGTGTTAGTTTTTTTTTGTATGTTTCGTATTGGGATAGTCATCGGCATCTCTTCTTTCCTTTAAGGGCTATATCCTAGGATTCCAAGTGGTTCTTCGACTGTATCTTGATTTTCAGGTGGTGATTATCTTCCCTTCCCCTTCCCGCCTCCCTCTTGCTTCGCCACCATGCCTTCCTCCTCGCTGCAACCCTGTCGATGTCTTCCTGCAGTTCCTCGCCGTTCAGCCATCCTTCGGGCTGCTGGAGCCCCTAGACAGTCCTCCTTTGACTGTCCCGCAGCCCCACACCTTCAACAATTGCTGCCGCCATCCTTCCCACTCGATGTCGCTGTCAGGAAACAGTTATCTGGGTTGTTTTATGCTGTTCCAGCCACCCGGCCAGCTGTTTCCCTTATTCCAGCTTGTTGCCACTGTCGCAATGTCTCCCCTTTTTGTTTTCCTGCTGTCCAGTTGCCTCAAACAGCCAATTGTTCTTGTTTGGGCTGCTGCCCTGTTATTTCAGCCACCTAAAATCGTTGTCTCTCTTTATCAACAGCCCAAAAACCCTTTCACTACCTCGCCACTATCTCGTCAGACCCTCTAACCATCACCATCATCACCTGGGATCCGCCCTAACGTGAGTTTGCGTGTTGTTTGCGTTATATTTTCCATTTCAGGTGTGTTTAATTATAACTATCTATTTGCTTCCAGTAATAATATTTGTTTTTGTCCTAATGTGATTAGGTTAACTACGATATTATTTTGTATCATAGCTAGCATAACATTGGTCCTATCCTAGAGTTTCTAGCATCTGTCATCCCCAAACATATCTCTATCAAAATATTTTTTTCTCACCCTACATCACCCTTACACACCTCCTTCCACCTACCCACAACCAAAATCTAGCCAAGCTGCCAAAAGATGATTATCGGAAGCCTGATCGAGGGGAATGAACAGTATACCATTTATGAGAAATTCACAAAAAAATATATCCAGGAATGAGATGAAGAGGGAAACCTGCAAACAACAACCGAGGTATGCCACCTTAGAGAGAAGAAAACCCAGATGGGTCACCTGTAGCATAATGGCGACCTGCTAAATCAAAGGAGTGGAGTAAATCTCTTCCACCATGCAGATTTCAGGGATGAAGGACCTCTACATCGAAGTTATCACATGAAATGTTTGAGAAGCCAAAATTTTGAAACACAAGTTGATCTGTCATATTTTGACGGCCACATGGATTAGGACAAGTTCATCGAGTAGCTCTGGATCTTGGAATGTATTTGAGTGTCCAGACATCTCATAGGATGAAATGGTCAAGTTAGTTGTCAGCGAGACAAAGAAGAATGTATTATTTTGGTGTAAAATCAGAAGTACGTACGTCAGCATGAAAGAAAAGACAAAATTACTACCTGATCCAAGATGAAACGGTAGATACAACATCAATTTCTACTAGATCAATACAGACCAGATGTCCACACCCTGGCTCCAGAACTGGAGAGACCACAACGTCGGGTGACCACCATATTTTACAAGCAGGCTTCAACCTTAAGATCTTACAGTCAGAGTACACCCAGCGGAACATCCAAGTTGACATCACCTGAGGTGACACTAGTTCAAAGTGGAGAGCATAATGCACCAATCCACATTCCCATGTCTATCCTAACCAGGAAGTGTTTCAAGTGTCATGGATTTAGGCATTTTGAAGCAAATTGCATAAATAAGGAGATGATATATTTATATTTCACTGAGCAGGGAGTAATTGAAGAAATAGACAATAACACAGTCAACATAGAAGAAATTGAGGACACAAAAGAGGATCAAATTCTAACGGATGTGGAAGAAAAGCATATAGCTCCAACTGAGGGCATAAGGGAGACATTAACAGAATTCACATTGGTAGCCCAAGGTGGTCCTAAGTCCGAGGAATTGGCATCAAACACCCGACAACCTATTAAAAAAAATTCACACTTTTTAGATAGATAGGCTTCTTCTACAGTTGTCCCTACTGAGGGTGATATCAGAGATGGGGCACTCTTGTGTCATTTCAAGAAGATTACATAGAGTTATTCAGACGTTAGATTCAAATCAACAGTATAGCCACCATTAGATATCCAGACAGAAGAGATGAACCACAACTTTGAAAATTGTCTTAGGAGCTTGATCGAGAAGAAAATTCTCCAATGGGGTCCAAGTCCTATCAGTGAAGATGAAGATGACTCTCCTGAGTGGTTGTTAGTGAGAGTGACACAACCTATCACAGATTTAATCCTAGAGTTGATTCTTCCTCATATACATGTTTATCAAATACATCCAACGGAGTACGAGAATTAGAATAAGCAGATTATAGATTTACTTGCTTGGGATTAAGCTGGTGAGAATCTATGTTGTTATGCAACTCCAACTCAAGTGGTGTCGAGGATGGATACTTATGCTATCAAAATGTAATTTAAAATGACCGCCTACAAGATTGACTTTCAGGGAGAGCTTGCAACATTTCCACTACCTTCAACAGGGCTAACCTGAAGACTATGAGAAGACAGAAGCTTCGACAGACACGGGAGACTAATGCGGGAGTGACCCAAGAGAAGGTTTTGTAATCATTGCTACATTTCCTACTGTAACGCGACTCCCACGACCTGTTTGCTCACCTGGACCGAACTAGTCCTCGTATTTCTCCTTTTTAAGAGTGTTGGTCAATTCTTGAGCTCATTTCTATTTATCCTATTATTATAAATTTGTTTTGATGGGAGTATAAGATTAGTATTTTTTGCGTTTTGTATCAGAATAGCCGTCGGCGTCTCTTCTTCCCTTTGAGGGTTGTATCCTAAAGTTCCAAGTGGTGCTTCGACTGTATTTTAGTCTCAAGGTGTTGATTGTCTTCTCTCCCCTTTTTCACCTCCCTCTCGCTCAGCTATCACGCCTTCCTCCTCGCCCCGACAGCAGTCCCATTGTTGTCTTCCTATAGTTCCTTGCAATCCAACAACCCATCTCGCTGCCTCAACCCTTGAACAGTCCAACTTTGGTTGTCCCGTAGTCCCGCGATTTCAATGCCACTGACGTTGTCATTCCGGCTCGTCATCGCAATCCGAATACAACTGTCTGGGTAGTTTACTACTGTTCAGGCCACCCGACCAACTGTTTCCCTCATTCCAGCTTGTTGTCATTGCCAAACATCTCCCACTTTTTTGTTTTCATGTTGTCCACGTGCCCCAAACAGCCAATTGTTGTTTTTGAGCTATTGCCCTTTGCTATCCTGTTGTTCCAGCCACCTATAATCGATGTCACTCTTCATCCACAGCTCGAAAACTCCTTCCCAACCTGCCACTGCCTTGTCATAGCCACAGTCACCACCATCACCTGAGATCCGCCTTAACGTGAGTTTATGTGTCGTTACGTGTTGAATTTTTCCTTTCAATTGTGTTTTATTATAGCCACTCATTTGTTTCTAGTAATATTATTTGATTTTTCCTAATGAGATTTGGGTTAACTCTGGTATCAATGTCATTGATGAAAAACTTCTATCATCTCTGACGAAACCTCTTAAAAACACACTGACAAAAAAATCATCTATGCTTAAAGTTACCTCAACTGAGGAAATTAAAATTCATAATTATTTATTTGAAGATGTATTAAATGCGAAAAAATATTATGCAATTATGAGATGAATTTACATATACGATCAATATTAAGAAAATAAAACAGGAACTAAAACATTTTAGCTTAACAAAACAAGACGTAAATCTCAACACAAATTATAAAATTACAAATAATTCAAAATATGACCAATAATCAATATATTGATTTAGTATATTATCATAAAAATAAATTATAAATATTTATCTATAATGTTGATATAATTAAAAGTTTAAAACGAGGTCTAAGGTAAGTATTCACTTAAATTTTAAATAAGCCATGAGATTTAAGATCCACATTGGGCTTATGCTCAATTTTATTATTCATTCGATTTTGACTTAGTGGAATCTTCCAAACATTCTTCAATCACAATATTTTTCTTCTTCCTCCCTATATTAATTAATATTAGATCTATATAATTTAAAACAAATAACAAATTAATATGCAATCA